TGGTAGTTGTGTAAAAATAGAATTGTATATATTCCTAGGATTGTGGAAGGATTGATTTAGAAAGTTTTCTTTCTATTTCTTTCTTTCTATTCTTGTACTTTCTATTTTCTTTTCTTTCTATATTTTTACTTTCTTTTTTCTTTTCTTTCTATTTTTTTCTTCTTTCTAGTTATTGCAGCAGCTTACTGTATAAATATGCCGATTGGCAATAGAATGAAATACATCAGTATTCTACCATTCCAAAACACTTCCCAATCAATCTTCTTCCTTACCCACAGAACTTTCGGCACTGTTGTTGAGGATGATACTACTAAATCTTCTTCAGTTTCTAATTTCCACCCCCCCCCCTGATACCCTTACACCTGATTTCTCCTTTTCTGTGCTTGTATGAATTTCTCCTCCAGGGCACTTGGTCTTTCCAGTTTCACTATGCTCTCCATGCTTCGATTAGAATTCTTCTAGGGCACTGGCCACCAACACCTAGCCTTGTTTAGCCAACCTTCAGGTAGGCATATTGTTTTTTTCTTCCCTTGACCAAAAATTTTTGTTAATGTGATGTACCATCCTCAGTTGTTCCTTCTACTCGACCCAGTATTCATTTTCTCCTCTATCTTATTTCTCCATCCTTCTCTCTTCACAAAGAAAAGCAGGCCATCTATGAATCATTTGAACCAGTTCAAGACCACCAAGTCCAGGATAACCGTTGCTCATTTGTCTTCTCTGATTTTCAGATTTGTTCTTCTAGATTTTGAATCCTCAAGTAGCAGTCTTTTCTTTTCCACCTTGATTTCTTTCCTCCACCTTGTCGCCGGAATGAACTTCTCCATATTCTCCAGTTTTCTTTAACCATGTATATCCTGTTATTTTGCAGTTAACTCTTCCAAATTCCAAAGTTTTTAATCAATGAGCAGCTTAAATGTAGTCATAAATAGCATAGAAAGAATCATTCAAGGCTTTAATGCAAATTCCCCCACATGTTGGCAGCATTATTTTTATAGATGCATGTTAGCAGCACTACAAAACCAGGCTTCTAAAGCAAAGGGAACCAATTAAGTTCATCCATTAATTGTAAATTAAAACAAAAATGGCATTCATGCTCATAGCTGGGGTGGCAAATCCTATCATCTGAGCAAAACAGCTCATATTTAGCCTACAATAAAAATGTCAAAAAGTCTTCTATCTACCAAGTAGAAACATGGCTCCAGTGACTCGAAAACAAAAAGAAGCACTTTGCCTAAAGACATTTTGTATACTTCTTTTCTTTGATGCAGTTTATTTGACTATTTGAAAGAGGTACAGATATAGACATACAAACACGTCAGGTACAGAACAAGTGTGAGGACATGCATGCAAAACTCAAAGAAATGAAATGACATATTATAAGTACAACAACAACTACAACAATAATAGTGATGGTAGTAGTGGTGATGATTATGATAATGGAAACAGTGTTACCAACAATGAAAATGGTAGCAACAAGAACAAACAACAACTCTGTCCAGGTTATTACAATATAGAACACACTCCCTTGGAGTCAAAAATATAAAGAATTATAAAATAACTAAAGGTTTCCATCCATGATGTCATGTACAATTACCATACCGTGAAGTGTTGAAGCTTCTCTGTGTCAAATGCATCCTGCTTAGATATCTGTTGCTCATAAGGTATACGAGCATTATACATTTCCATGGCCTTCTGGTATGCTGAGGTAACATGACTGGGGATTCCATCCAAGTCAGAACAGTTGCTTTCATGAAGATTCCCATGTTTGACCTCCCAAGCTTTGTAAGCAAGAAGGGTTGATCTTAGGTCATCAAGTGGTACAGATAACTGACGATGGAATATGCTTCGAATGCATTGAATTTGCTTTTCTTTTCCCTGGTTGTCATTGATAAATTATCTCATGTGTCATATTTCATAAAACAAATATTAGATAAAGAAAAAAAATCACAGATCAAATGACAACAAAATACAACAGTTATCTCATTACATAAGCATGTCATTAAATAAACTGATAATTTGCACTTAAACTAGAAAACCTACCAAGTAAAATAGAAATCAAATAAGGAAGAAATATTTTTAGATAAACAAAAAATAAACTTTATTAAGGAAAATAAGGAAAAAATATACAAAATTATATACATACATACATATATGTATATATAGAGAGAGAGAGAGAGTGATTTTTTTTATCAATAACAATGAATTTTATTAATGATTGAGAAAAACAGAATTACAAGGGAAGGAGCTAAAGAATCTTAACTCCCAACTACCCAAAGTACAACTTAACCATGAGACAATTACAAAACAGCCCAAAAGATAGAGTTTCTGTTCACCCCTTGCCTAGTTAGACCATCTGCCAATGCATTTGCACTTCTCTTTATCCATGTACAATGAATTTCAATGCCCTTGGTGAGCCACTTGAACTTCCTCTTTTCATTGCTGTATTTCCAGAGCATAGAACTGTCATCTTTTAGCCAATTCACCACAATTTCAGAATCACCTTCTATGATCAATTTTTTAATATTCACTTCCTTGACCCTTTGTATCCCATCAAGAGCTCCTAGTATCTCAGCACTCAAGGAATCTCCCACCCCAATCGGACCAGAATACATGGCTAACAAATTCCCTTTCTCATCCCTTATCACTCCCCCTACTCCGAAGGGCTTGCCTATGCTGCTACCATCAAAATTCAGTTTGGTAAACCCATGAAGGGGAGGTGTCCAGCAGGAATTTAAGGTCTTCTTAATTGAGGCCGAATCTACAATCTCCTTCTAGCTTCTTATCATCTCATCAACTGAGAAGACTTTAAACAATTCCAATGTTCTCAACCAATGTATCATCCTAATGTGAATAGTCTCCAGGATTACTTCCAAACTTCTTTCCTTATTTGAGAATATCCTTGAGTTTCTCTCCTCCCAAACAGTCCAACACACTACCACATCTCCACATGATCTTGGCCCTTTTGGTTGACCAGTTAGGCATGGAAGTAAATAAGCATTGCACATTCAAAGGGGGAGTCCACCTGCACCCAAACAACGAAGTAAACCATTCCCAAATACCTTTAACAAACTGACAAGAAATTAGTAAATGGTACCCAGACTCGTCATTGGATTTACAGAGAACACACCAGTGAGGAGACAAACAATTGTTGGGTCTTTTTCTTTGAAGTAGATCCCTTGTATTAACTCTTTCAAGAAAAGCTTCCCAACAAAAATGCCCAACCTTTGGAGGTATAGGCCGACACTACACTTCTTTAACAGGGAAAGAAATTCCAACAGGAGGAGGGGGTAAAAGGGCTTTAAAGAAAGAGGCACAAGTGTAGGAACCTGAGAGAGTGAGTGTCCATATTCTATTATCTGTCTTTGATGGCTCAATGAAGACCCCTTCAAGAATGGATAATAAGGCTAAAGTACAAGCTAACTCTGTGTCCCTGACATCTCTTCTCAAGCTCAAGTTCCATCCAAACCTAGAAGGTGAATTAGAAGGAACAAGAAAAGAGGAAATTGGTTCATTTTTAAGGGTAAAAATAGCAAAAAGGCCTGGAAATTGATCTTTTAAAGAGGAATCCCCAACCCAAACATGTTCCAAAAACTTAATGAGGTTATCTAATTGCAAGTCATACCTAATCCAAGGAGAGAACAAGGGCAAGATGGCTTGAATAGCTTTCCAAGGAGAAGCTCTTGTAGTCCTTGCTAGAATCCCAGAGTCCCATCCATTGTCTGCCAACCCATGTATACTTCCCATTATATTAACCCACAGTCTTTCTTTCTCCAATGAAAATCTCCATAGCCATTTCCCTAGTAATGCTAAGTTCTTAATCCTTATGTTCCCAATTCCCAAACCTCCCTCCTTCTTATCCCTACATACCACCTCCCACCTGACCCTATGATCCTTCTCCTCCTCCGGCTCCCAAAGAAAATCTCTCATTAGTTTTTCCAACCTGCTAGCCACCTTAGTTGGAATCTTATAAAGGCTGACAAAATATAGACCGGAAGGTTAGTCAGAGTAGACCTAATTAAGGTGGTTCTCCCTCCAAGAAACATAATTTTTCTTGTAGTTGACAAGTCTCTTTTCAACCCTCTCCACAATAGGGGCCTAAAAATCACCACTCTGAGGATTATCCCCCAGAGGTTAACCATGGTAATTTAAGGGCCAATTAGAAACTACACACCCCAAAATGTTTGCATACTCACCAACCTCCCCTTCCCCCATATTGATTCCAACTATACAACTTTTCTCAATGTTCACCCTAAGGTTTCATTGAAATTTAAAATGCAATTATATGTTGTTGATAATGTTTCATTGAAATCTACCATTTAAGAGAGGAAATTATTGCCAAGGCTCTGTTTGTTTGCAGTTTAAATCTGATCCAGATATAAATTTTGCACCTAGTTCAGTTTTGCATCCATTTGTAACTATGAATTGCACTTCCATCTGGTGCAAAATTACACATTTTTCTTAGTTGCACTCATTGGCAGTGCAACTTTTACATCTGAGGCAGCATTTGGTGAGGGTACAAATGCAGAACTGAAGTAAATTTGCACTCCAGTTCGGTTTTGCAGGTTTGGTAAGAATGCATTCTTGTATAGAAAATGAAAGTAAATCTGTTTTTCAACCATTTTTTGCATTCAAAATGGGATGGGAAGGGCAGTTATGGAATTTCAGATGGAGAGAAAGGTTTAGATTTAAACAGGAAAGGACACATTGGAGGGAAAAAGGTAAGAAGGCGGGGGAGCTCAGTTCGCACGTGGTAGAAGGGGAAGTTAGAGGGACACAGGTGGAGGGAGGAATTAGCTTCGAATCTCCTATAGGTGGGGCTCACAGGAGGGGGGAAGTTGTGAGAAAGAACAAGCTCACAAAGTTGGGGTAAAAGAAAGGGAGGGGCATTATTGGTAAAAAGCAGTTTAAGAGGGGTTTCTTGAAAAATATTTCAAAAGGTAAGGACCAAAAGGATGTTTGGGTTGGATGGTTGCTAAATATGCAGAAGGCAAAAAGACAATGGAGTTTCAGAGAAAGAGAGGAAACAATGACCGTGTAAGAGTGTCAAGTGCCACCCGAGTTGCTACATCGTTCGAAGAGGGAGGGAGCTCGTCGTAAGGCTAGCGGGTAGGTCTGAAGTTGGGAGAGAAAGGAAGGCTATGGATTGAGTTTTGTCGAGGGAAGTCAAAGCCTGATGTTTCCCAGCAGGTGACCATGGTTTCTTTGGCTCCGACAGTTTTCTGAGCAGGAGAAGAAGATAAGACCTCGGACCTACTGATTTGTTTAACAAAGGACAGGGAAGGAGCTACTGATGGTGCTTCTGAGTTTAGTGAAAAGCGGATCAACCAAGAGGTAAGCACCCCTATCTCAGATGTTGGCCAAATGTTTGAACGCAGGTCGAAGGAGGGATAGGGAAAGGAGCTTGGGGAAGAGGCAAAGTCTCCCGGGGTTCCAAAAAAAAAGGCTGTTTGGGGAGTTAGGAGGGAGTGAGAGAAAAGAAAAGGTATTACAATAGAAAAAAGAGCTCTTGTTTCTTCTCAGGGGGTGGAAAAAGGAGTAGGAGTAAGGGAGGTAGGACAAGAAGGGTGCTCGGAGGGGAATAGAGGGGAAAGACAAGAAGAGGGAGCAGTGTTTTAAAAGGCGTGGGAGGCGTATGCCTGGAGGCATGCCTCCGGGCGAGGCGCTCCCAAAACGTCCTGAGGCGTATGCTAGAGGCGCTAACACCTCTAAGGCGTACGCCTCTTGCGTTTTTTTCATGAGGCGTGCTAGAGGCATACGCCTCATGCACATCTTATATAAAAAGACAAAAAAAAAAGAAAAAAGAAAAAAAAGTAAAGGAAAAGAAAGGGGAGGGAAAGAAAAAGAAAGAGAAGAAAAAAAAAGAGAAAAGGAAAGAAAATAAAAGGGAAGGGAAAAAAAGATAAGGGGAAAGAAAGTAAAGAAAAAATAAGATCCCCCTTCCTCTTCATCCTCCTCCTAACCCCCCTCCTCTTAAGGAGGCTTACGCCTCCTTGTATTTGAGAGGGGTAGTGGAACGCCTCGCGTCACGCCTCCACATTTTAAAACCTTGAGAGAGGGAGATCGGAGGGGGGACAGTCTAGGATTCAGATCTGATCTGAAATGGTGTTGTTGAAATTGACAAGCTGGTAGAAAAGGAGGTCCCTATCAAAAAATCCTTGGGTTTATTTTTCTGGGGAGGGGAAGAATTTGCAAGGAAGGCCTTCGAACGCATTGAAAAATTAGGAGGGAAGAAAAAAATAGAGAAAAAGAAAAACATGGGAAGGGCAAGGAGTGGGACGAAGAGGGGGGAGAGGAGGAAGTGGGTGAGGACAAAAGGTGAGTCTTTTTCTCTTTAGTTGTCAGGGGGGAAGAGAAGAGTGTGGGTGACCAGCTGGAACGTAAGGGGTCTGAAAGATAAGGAAAGAAGGGTGACAGTGAGAAATTTAATGAGGAAAAATAGTCTTACTCCTACAGTTGTGCTGCTGCAGGAGAATAAACTGGAATCTTTTAGTCTGGGCATGAGGGAAGAAACTTGGGGAAGGAGCAGTGTTAGGGGAGAATTTTTGAAATTTCTTGTGTCACAGACTTGTAATCTCAACCGGTTCTGTTTTTCTTGATTTTTCTGGTGTAGTGTAACCGGCATGTGTGCTAGGATGCGACTGGGAGCTATCTTAACAACCCCCGGGTAGTATGGCTCTTTTTATTTTAATGGAATCTTTTATTCTGATTCTTCCAAAAAAACGACAAGGAAATTTATGATGGAGGTTGCAGGTAATTTTAAAGGGAGGTGGGAAGATAAGGCAAAAGGAGAGTTGGTTTCAGATGGGGAGAATGCTGCTTCAGGCAAGTCAAAGGAAGTTGTGGAAGCTTCAAATACGGTCGCATTTTAAAACTCAAAAAGAAAATCAAAAGAACCAGCATCAGATTCTGGTTTCTAAGGTGCTCGCGAGGATAAAAGGAGGTTTGTTTTGAGTAGGGCCTAACAACATGGCTAAAAAAACAAAAGGCCAACCAGAAGAAGAAAAGAATATTTTATTCAAGAAACAGAGAATAAGAGATAAAGAAGTGTTGATCGGTTTTGGGGGGTTAGGGTCTCGGTTGGGCTTCTCGAGGGATGTTAGATAGGCTTTTTAGATGTTTATGGGTTTTTGGTTTCTCAGTGATGTATTTGTGTTTGTGATTTTTGTTTGGGATGCTTTTTTGTAAGGGTAAATGATGGAACCGTGGAAGGGCTAGTCTTTGTGATGTCAAGGGCCTATGTGAGGATTTTTCTTTTGGGATTTAGTCTTTGGGTTATCTTCTCTCTCGGATGATTGGTTATAATCATTCTTATATTTCTTTTTTCTTTTAATAAATTTTTATTTACCTTCAAAAAAATAACGTGTGCATACACTTCTGATTTTTGAGAAATATAAACTTAGGCATTTAGTGACAAGTGAATACCAAATTAAAATATCCGACTTCTATTTATCAAATATCACTAGACATCATAAGGACAGTAGATTTAACATCTACATAGTTATACCTTCAATTTTAGACTTTGTTAAGCTTAAAAAAATGTACACCCCCATGCATAATGATAGCACACCCAGGAAACACTTTCTTGTCGAGTTCCTAACATATTTCCCTTTACCTTAATAATTAAAGCAAAATCAAATACGAGAAAATCAAATAGAAAAATAGAAGAAAGTTGAGGTAGAAATTAGCCAATAAAAAGGCTTGATGTAGCAAAGTGATCACTGATAGAAAATGTAACACCAATATGAAACCTTATATTAGGGTAAAGTCTGACCTCATTGTTGTTATCATCAATAGTATGAAATATATTTAGTTCAAATTCTCTGTATGCTTCCCAGATTTTATTGCCTTCAACAAGATGCAATCCACCAGCAGTAAGAGCACGCTCAAATAAGTCCCTCATCTTCTTGATGCCATCTGATGAACATTCCCGTACTGATGGATCATGTTCTTGAACAAAATTTACATAGTCGCACCAAAGAGATACAGACTACACAAAAGAAAGTATATTCAGCTGCATTGCAGAACAGTGACTAAATGCAAAGTTACTTCAATTTCAATATGTGCTTAACAAAAATAGGTCAGGTAAAAGAATAGAAAAGACAGTTGCCTTGAAGCCATCATAATATCCATTTTTTGACAGAATATGAAGTCCATGTTACATAACGAGTACCAGAACCTACCAGATATTCATGCACTCCTCGCTCATAAAGTTTTTCAATTACAGCAAAGGCCTCAGGTCTGCAAAATTAGAAAGAACATGCAACAATCACTGAGCAATCAACTAATCCAAACAAATGAATAAAAAATAACAAAACCATACTAATAAGACATTATCCCATAATTCATAAAAAAAGTGAATTATTAAATCAGAACCAGATTTAGAGTGAGTTCATACAACATCCCAGGGAGA